GAGGACAAGATTATCGTCGAGTTGGGAAGCAAATGTAAACGTTTGTTGATCATGGCAATTCCTAATGACATCTTTAAGTGTATTGATCACTGTCAACTGTCCATGGAGATCTGGGCAGAATTGGAGAAGCTAATTGAAGGTGGAAGGAAAACGCTTAAAAACAATCGTGCAATCTGCATCGACCAGTACTACAGCTTTAAGGCTAAAGATGGTGAGTCTCTGTCGGATACATACTCGAGACTAAACACGTTAATTAGCAACTGTAAGAGGTATGGCATCCCAAGAACGGCAGAGGAGAATAACTCATTATTCTTGAAAAGCTTTGGGGCTGAGTGGATGAATATCACAATGTCCATGAAGGCTATCCTAGATCTAGAAACATGGACATTAGCAGACTTGTTTGGATCTCTCAAGAGCCAAGAGCCCCAAGTTATGCAAATGAAGAGAAACTTTGGTGGCCCTCTGGCTCTAGTTGCTGAAGACGGATGCTCTGGGAAGGGAAAGGAAGGACAGAAGGAAGAGAAGGAGAAGAAGAAGAAGAAGGTTCTGATCGCAGAGAGTGATGACAGTTCTGAGGAAGAAGTGTCAATGAAGGAGATGATGAAGACACTTGCCTTGATCACGAGAGAGTTTAGGAAGGGTGGAGAAAGAAGAGAGTTAAAGAATTTCAATCGAAGAAACTTTGCAGAAGGAGAAAGATCAGACAGAAGAAAGAGGGAACAGAAGCCCTCACAGAGGATTGAGGAGCAGAGGAAGGAAGAACCAAGAGATGGCTGCTTCAAGTGTGGCAAACCTGGCCATTTTGCAGCAGACTACTGGTCGAATGGACCATGGGCACCACAGAGGGGTCCAAAAGATGCTGCCTTCTACAAGAAGAAGGATGAATACTATCAACAGAAGTCTTTGCCAGCTCAATCAAGTGAGCTAGTAACAGACGAATCCTCTGACGACGACGAACAGAAAGGTCTTCTTGTATGGGAAGATTCAGAGATAGAGGATGAGCTTTTCTGCGGGATGGCGGACATCGAGTCAGACTCCTCTGACAAGAACAACCAAGAGGTATCTACTTCCTCCTCTTCTGAATCCTTTGAGTTTTTCACAGAGATCATTGACAATCTCGATACAAGTTATTTGGAGCATTATGATCTTAAAGACAAACTTTCTCTCTGTGAAAAAGAAGTAATTCTGCTCACAGAGTAAAGAAACCGATTTTATAAAATGTTTGAAGAAGCACAATCCAAGTTTTTAAACTTAGAAAATTCTTCAAAACAAAAGCTTGCCAAGGTTGAAAAAGATTTGAAAATAAAGGTGGAAGAATTGAGGCAGATAGAGCACGAGAAGTGCAATGTTACTTCTGTGAAGGAGTTCTTTCAAAAGGAAAGCGAATTTTTACATCAAGACGTGCTTGACAGAGAGCTAAAAATAAAGAAATTTCAAGAGGCTCAAAACATTTATAAAAAGATAAAGGTCAATTTGGGCAGAAGAGGTCTAGGTTTCTCGGAATTTGACAACAAACCCAGTTTCAAATCAAACAAAACTCTAGAGAATACCTTTAGATCCTCAAACAATTTGTAAAGCAAAATTTCTAAATCTAAGCCCAGTTTCAATAGGAGAAAAATGTTGGTTGAACCAGACACAAAATCGTGTTTCTTTTGAAAATATAGCTTATGAAGACTATATTGATTCCTTCTCACCTTCTGCAAAGAAGGATTTCATTCCAAGAAAATTCCTGAGACAGGATAAAATAGGAATTTTCAAGTTTGGTCAACCAGAATCTCAAGAAAACTGTTCTTTTGGTCAGCCTCTTGAACGAAAATTGTCCGCAGAGGCTCTGGAATTTTTTCCTTCTTTTATCACAGAGCCCTCTATAAATGAGTCTCTTTTAGAAAACGTTTTTAACTCTGAGCTCTCTGGAAAGGCTAAGTCTAAGCATGAAAATGCCTCAGATCTTAAAGYWAGTCCTACACAAGTTGTAGAGACTRMTAGTGATCTTGAGAAAGGTAAGAAAGAAACTCCAAAGCAAAGWAAYTCTCAAAGCTCTGTCTCCACAACACAGAAGCCTACTTATACTTGGCAGCAAAAGGAAAAATGGCCTCTGTCTAACAAAGCTTATGTTTCAGTAAGTGCAGGTAAACCAAAGGAGGGACAAATACAGAAAGTTTTTAAAAGGCATTTCAAAAAGGAGCCTAGAATAGGAAGGAGTCTTGTAATAAAAACCTCGTACCTAGGAAGGGCTCTAAAATAAAAAATTCTACACCCTTCTTTGAGGAATTTAATAAAAAGTTTATTCAAGTTTCTTGTGATGTCTCCTTTTGTAAATGTTTCGATATCATGCATACTCATTCCATACACCTTCACAAGTCTTCATGTTTAGTCTCTCATCCCAATAGTCAAAGCTCTGGGGTAATAAGAGACACACTGGCGATTCTTCCAAGAAATGTAAGGCCTAACCAAAGGATGTTACGACATACCTTAAGCAATCTAATTATAAAGAACCCAATTGGAAGTGGGTACCTAAATTAAACGTTGTATGATCGCAGAATCCACAGCATGTGTCTACCTGGGTTGTCGACTCAGGGTGCTCGAGGCACATGACTGGTAAATTAGAGCTTTTATCTTCGTATTTAAAGCAAGAAGGAGGCTCTGTAGCCTTTGGTGGAAACCAGAAGAAGAAGATCAAGGGCTATGGGATGATTGTGAAGGGAGAGATCAAAATGAATCAAGTTTCATATGTGGATGGGCTTAAACACAATCTCATAAGTGTTAGTCAACTCTGCGACAACGGTCTGGATGTGCTTTTCAAGGTCAAACATTGCATCATGTACAAAGTAGACACTTTGATAGAGGTGATGAGAGCCAACAGAAGAGGAGACCTGTACCTTCTAAGCTTTGACTCGTTAGATGGCAAAGAAGAAGTTAGTCTGGTGTCCTCTGTGAAGAATGAAGAAGCTTGGCTCTGCCATACCAGGTTTTGTCATCTTAACTTTCATACTCTTTACAAACTGGTTAAGCAGAGTTTAGTCAAGGGACTACCCAACATAAAATTTGAGAAGGACCATCTTTGYTCAGCTTGTGAAATGGGTAAACTCAAAAGGTYTTCCCATAAATCCAAGTCTGATCCTTCCTATGATAAGCCTCTGCAAATGCTTCATGTGGACCTCTGTGGCCCTATCTCTGTGCAGAGTCTTGGAGGAAATAAGTACATTCTTGTGCTCATTGATGAATTCTCAAGATTTACGTGGGTAGAGTTTTTATGTAAGAAATCTCAGATTCCCTATGTACTAATCAATCTCTTAAAGAGATTGCAAGTTCTTCATTTCTTCAGGTTAGGGTACTAAGGAGCGATAAGGGCACGGAGTTCAAGAAATCTGTGATCGAAGAGTACCTAGCTTCTATTGGAATTACTCACAACTTCTCAGCCCCAAGGACTCCGTAACAGAATGGTGTAGTAAAGAGGAAGAACATGACGCTTGTTGAGGCTGCCAGAACGATGTTGAATGCCTCTGGGCTACCACTATCCTTTTGGGCAGAAGCTGTCTCTACCGCTTGCTACACACAAAACCGGTCCTTGGTGGTGAAACGCTTTGAGAA